CCGGCCGGGTGTGTGTTCACGGTGTGTGTGTGTGTTCACTGCTGTGTGTGTGCACTTTGGATGGGATAAATGCAGAGCACTAATTCCGAGTATGGGTCACCATACTTGGCCACATGTCACTTCACTTCACTTCATAAACATGAATGAACATAAGAAGGTACGTTGAAAGAAACAGTACATCTTAGGTTCTCTGTGAAATGAAAACTCCATGAATTCATAAATTCATTTTGGTGCATCACTAATATAAAAGCTAGTTATAATTACTACAACAATATAAGAAAAACATTTATATTGCATTTTAAGAATAACAAACAGTTTATGTATGAATCATTATACAGTGAGGACATCCCAAGGGGACGTTTTGTAAGAACACACACAGTGCAGATTGCTGATACAATAAAAACAGACTCATGTTTCATCAATTGTACACCCATGCATGTGTCGTGTATGCACATTTCCCCTTCAGTCACAAGAGCAAAAACCAGTTATTCAAGTTTCGCTAAGGTTTCCAGTTATGAAGAATGTGAATTTCGACGTGGCATTTATCTTTTACTTTTGATAAACAAAATTTTGACAAATATCCTGCTCATCTACTGAAAAAAACAACAAAAAAAAAACATTGTTGACTACTAGTTACATTTTGCAGTGATCTCATAATTGACCCTTCACAATGACCCGCCCCTCTTAGTTACTGTTGCTACGTCCAACAAGCCATGCCACACATTATGTTGTCACAGTGAAAAATACATCGTGGAGCAAAGAGGACACGGACAACGCGTCGACAGACAAGACAGAACAGGTCACATTTGGTATGAAACAAAGTCTCAGCTTTCAAATCTTGTCTTTTTTTAAAGGGGTCATATGACCTTGCTAAAAAGAACATTATGTTGTGTATTTGGTGTAATGCAATGTGTTTATGTGGTTTAAGGTAAAAAAAACAAAACATTGTTTCTCCTCTATGCCCCACCTTTCTGAAACGTGTCGATTTTTACAAAGCTCATCGTTCTGAAAAGCGAGGTGTACGCTGATTGGCCAGCTATCCAGTGAGTTGTGATTGGCTGAATACTTCAAGCGTGTGACGGAAATGTTACGTCCCTTACCATACTGTGATGCCGTGTACCGGCGCGATGAGTCAACACCAATTCTAGTCGTGTCCATTTTTGGAAGGCCAAACAAAGTAGTTTCGCTTTCATACCGAAACACACAGCATCACACACAGTGGGCTTGAGTGAGGAATGGCCGGCGGGCTTGAGAACGGTGCGGCCGGCGGATTCAACGAGGGTGCGGCCGACGAGCTTGCGGCAACCACATGTGATGACCCCGGGCTGGACTCTGCTTCGTCCACGGTGAAAACTGATCCGGCGATCCACAGCGCGAAGTTGATGTATTTCCTCAGCGACCAGCACGGATCAGCTCTAGGCATGACGAAGCGAATATCATCCTCTTTTGGAAGGCCAAACAAAGTAGTTTCACTTTCACAACGAAACACACAGCGTCTCCACGACATGGCGGCGGCGGCAACAACAATACTACAGCGAGAATAAAAGTTACGCCTTCTTTCTTTGCGTGAACATTTGGGTGGGGTTATGCAAATCTTCCCACACAGTCACGTAGACATGTGGGGGCGTGTTTAAACGAGGCGTTTTAGGTAGGCGTGGTTGACTCTTAACTTTTATGAAGAATATCTCTTTGGGTTTGAGACTTTAGTCTTTGGAACTTTAGGGATCTTATCTATGCACGAACAGCTTGTAACACTCCAAAGAGAAAGGAAAATTTGAAATGGCATCATATGACCCCTTTAAGAAATTTAAACCATAAATACCATTTTGTGGCTCTTTAATTTGTTGTGACAGATCACTGTAGCGCCTCAGTTCAAGCGGCACCGACATCAGAGGGTATCTTGTTTCAAATGCAGAAAGACATCAATACATCAATCATTTTTTCAAGTTCAAGTCCACCGAAGTTAATCTACTCTCATGTCTGGTTTGTTTATCGGATAAAATAGCAGATTTGGCATTATGATTGGTCAGACCGCCTGTCAATCAAACTGCTGCCGAAGGGTCAATTGCATTGTACAAAAGCCTGTTTCTGCCACGGAATAAAAACATCTCAAAATTTGCACATTTCTTTTCACGACTCTGAGATTACATCTCACAGATCAAACTTTTCTTTTCACAATTTTGTGGTGGAGACATCCTGCTCAACAGGGACAAATTGTATCAGAATTTGTCAAACAGAAGATGCATACACAAAAAAAAGCTTTCTAGTATATTTGCACATTAGGTCTCTTCAAACATTTACAGCAAATGTCAAGATGCTCATCGGGAGGTGAAGCCAACACACTCCCTGCAAAAAGACAGAGTGTGTGTGTGTGTGTACAGAGAAGTTCAAGTGTGCTTAACCTTACACGTTGGTGCTACAGCAACAATGAGCACAGGAAATGACGCCTCACCTTACAGAAGAAAGGGTCACCTGACCCCCAGTGCCACTAAACTCACACTATGGGGAGGGCCGGGGCAGGCAGACTTTTATGGTCTGTGTCTTCAGGTGTATTTGCACACTGGGCAGTGTGTGAACTTTCCTTAGTGTGTGAGTGAGAACAAATGCATTTAAAGTATAGATCCTGAGGATTTCTGCATGTCATGTGCATGTTCAAAGTGTGTTTTTAGCAAGCAACCCACATTTCCTTCTTTGCCTTTCTCCACTTTCCAAATCCTTTCTTTTACTGTACTCCTTAGAGGTCACCGGCAGCACATGGAGGAATGTCGAGTTTGTTTAAAAGAAAGTATAAGCTCCCGTACCCAGTGCAGTATGGGAGAAGGGGGTTGGGGGGGGGGGATTGTCCAAATACTCACACTTGTGGTCTTTGCACTTGAATACTTGTCTGCTTACGTGACATATTTCCTGTATTTAGCCCAAGTGTTCAAGTGGGGGTGAAGACCACAAGTGTGTGTAGAACTTTTAATTACCCGAATCGACACACTTATAGTGTTGCAAAAATGCAAGTGTTAACAGATTTTTTTATTTTGATTTATATATAATACTATATAAACATCTAAATGTCTGTTCAGTAGTCCCTATAACGGATGACACAATTTGATAATTGTGGTCCATCTAATTAAGCGATTATAAGCAGTTACAAATGTTGTACAAAATGACGATGGTGCATCTCCTCCTGAAGATTTTGTACCAATTTAGGCATAAAAATAAATAAAAAAAACATTAAAAACTTTAAAAACATTAACGTGCTACTAAGTTTCACAGATTGGCACTACTCACCCATTCATTACAGTTCACCCAGAAATGAAAATTTTGTCACCATATTTACTCACCATCATGTTGTTCCAAACCTGCATGTATTTCTTTCTTCTGTGGAACACAAAAGAAGCAACTTGATGGTGAGTAAATGACAGCATTTTCTTTTTTAGCTGAATATTTGGTCACTATATTTGGTCACTTCAGCTGATTTCTGTGTGACTGACTACAAATGGTAGCTTCAAAACCGAGAATCTACCAACAGCTTTGACATAATCAATACAAACAATGCTGTTTTTTTTTTGCATTTTGAGTAAATACTGTTTAAAATGTTTCAGAATGTTTGTGTAATCTCATCTGCGGTCATTAAACCGATTTCATCTACCAAAAAAACAAACAAACAATAAAAAACATTGTTGACCCTTAGTTACTGTTGCGGCGTCCGACAAGCTCTCACATCATGTTCTCACAATACATCGATGAAAAATACATCGTGGAGCAAAGAGGACACGGACAACGCGTCGACAGACAAAGCAGGTTTCGACAGAGCAGGTTACATTTGGTATGAAAAAGTCTCAGCTTTCAAATTTGGTCATTTTTTAAGAAATATAAACAATAAATACCGTTTTGTGGCTCTTTAATTGGTTGTGACAGATCGCTGTAGCGCCTCAGTTCAAGCGCCACGTGAACTGATCATCTCTTTTCTAGTTATAGCACAAAATAAACATGAATGAACATCAGAAGGTATCATGTTTCAACTGCAGAAAGATGTCAATACACTCCATTTTTCAAGTTCAAGTCCACCGATGTTAATATACTATCCTGTCTGGTTTGTTTATCGAACAAAATAGCAGATTCGGCATTATGATTGGCCAGATCACCTGTCAGTCAAACTGCTGGCGAAGGGTCAATTGCATTGTACAAAAGTCTGTTTTTGCCATTGAATAAAAACAACTCCGAGATTACATCTCTCAGATCAAACTTTTTTTTTTCACAATTTTGTATTGGAGACTTTTTTTCTTACAATTCCAAAGAAAAAAGTCAGAATTATGAGATATAAATTTAGAATTGCAAGTAAAAAAGTCAGAATTGAGATTAAAAGTCGCAATTACCTTTATTATTTTTTTCATTCCATAGTTTTCAGAGCTGGAGAAAAAAACTTAATGTGTTAACAGTTTAGACAACAGATTTACGTG